GAAACGTCAGCCTTTCTGCTCCTACGATGCTGCTTGGCCTGCTGTGTTCATCCAGCCCTGCACCTTGTTGCCTAAATTATTAGTGGGCTTCTGAGCTGCAACTAACAGGTAGTGAAGGTCTGATACAACATGGAACTTTAAACAGGAGATTGATGGCATGTGAAAACAGGGCAAGAGTGTTTCTTCAAACAATCAGATAAAGAATATTTACTGAGGCATACATTGTGAAGCAAACGTGAAATCTATAACGCTTAAATTTTACAAAAGTAAAATAACAAGGAAGAGCAATGGAATTGAGTAACAAAAGTGACCAGGAAAATATTTTACTTGATTTTACAAAGAATTGAAACCTAGAAGAATAAGACTCCACAATTTTACAGGTAACTTTTCAGAACCAGTAGGCTGTTGGCAGTAATTAAGCAACACACTGTTAAGAAAATAACTTGCACTTGAATGTACAAGCCCTAGCTTTTCCTGGTTTGTTTTAACTGGTATCTATTGGTTGGAAATTGCAACTTTAATTGAATACTAAGGCTGTTGGCAAAATACTAATACAGCACAGCTTAGGGAGGAGAGGAAAGATTAGGCATACTTCCTGATTTCAGTGATTAACTCAGCAAGTAGCTTAGATAGCTCTCAACCTATCAAGTTTCTGATCAGCTAGGAATAGATTCCCTCCAATGGGGAACCATTGTCCAAGAGTTTGTTTGAGCTTGGAAGTGTTTAGTCCGGTCCCAATATGAATCCTTCAGGGTAGTCATGTGACTTTTAGAAGCCAGTTTCTAAGATTCCAAGTTTCTATTTTCAAGATAGATTTTGTTACAACATTGATTATCTTGGTAACACAGAATCTGAATATTTCTGGAAAAAACACACATTTGAGTTGAAGCTTCTAGTCTTGAATTCATCAGTGTAATTCGCAAGAAATATTTAATTGAAGGGAAAAGCCAACATTTATACAAGAGAGGAGAGTGCTGGTGGTTTGACAAGTGGACCTGGATTGGTAGAGGTGTTACCATGGAAATGCACCAGACAGTAATGATTAACTGCCAGGCTTTGTTTAAATTTTAGATTCTGATAAATCAAGGCATTCACCCGAGTAATGAACCAGCGACATATAAAATTTTAATCTAAATATCTGTGACACCGTTAAAGGGTTTAAGTAAACAGGCAATAATTTTAAATTGGAAGCAATGCCAAATCAGGAAACAATGTACAATAGCAATGATTGGTTGATAGATGAAGAACAAAGACAAATTTATCCCCAAAGGATGGGATATCAAGCAGGGGATCATATGAAGGTGACAAAGACCTAGATGAGAGCTTCACTGGCATGCTACGGTGCAGCAGGAGCAGGAAATGTTTGGCAACTGGGGCCAGTTGCCTGGTTAGAATGTTGATGGCAATTCCCATATTTGTTGCACCTGATTTTGAGTTTACGTACATGGGCTGAAGAACCTGTTGTTGTGCTGTGCTGTACTGTGCTGTTCTAAAGGCCCTCCCATGTTAAACAGGCAGAAGTAAAACGACATTCTTGACAATATGGATATATGGTTAAAATTTCATCTTGGGGTTAAAAACAAGATCAAGACTGGTATCCTACTTTAGTAAGTCTCAAACAGTAGCTATGGAAAAGTTGGAGTTAGTGGTTCTGGAATGAAGTTTGTGGCAGGGCCCATTCTGGTTCAAACAAACCTAGTACAAATTATTTTGTCTCAAATTTTTTGGTGAAGAATTTACAGCTGCATGGACAAATGAGACACCGTAATACATGTCACTGTGGGAGAGCAAAGTCAAATTTATTTTGCCCTCATGCAGCATCCATGTACATACTTCTATCTGAATTTGATGCTGGACAGGAATCAAAAAAGCGAAGACTAGCTGATTTTTACTGAGCAAATATTATACCCCTTCCAATGTCACAGCTGAAATCAACCCCGAGGTGTTTCTTAGTCTGTACTGCTCCTATTCACCAGATAAGCTTGTTAAACCATTTGGTAGGTTTGTTGACATACTTCTAACTGTCTTACTTCCATGTACACCACACACCTCCCCAGCAACTCTATCATGTAAGAAGGGTTCAAGTATCGCATAAATAATTCTCAATTCTAGTTCTTTGATTGATGTCCTTCCCAAAACTCTTATGGAAATCAATGTCTTGAAAGTGCTTTTAATACACTAGCAATCTTCTATAGTGTATGTTAGGTCAGAGAACATTGGCCACTCTTTCATCCTTCTCTGTTGTCTCTGATTTGCTGTTTCAATTGGCCTCTTTCTGCAACTTTGCAGTTTAGGAGCAGAAACTCCAGTTTACTTAAAGGGTTCTTTTACAGACTGTGGACAGTGCTTTACCTGTTTTCCCTCTCATACATTTCTTTGGAGCCACTTCGAAGATGTTCAATTTCCAGGTCTGTTTTTACTCGGATCTGCTCCAGTTCATGGCGAAGCTTTTCTTCATATTCGTTTTTATAATGGTCCCTTTGTAAAAAGGTTCCATATGTTATAAGATTTAGTATCAAAGTAAAATAGCAAATTCTACAAATCTATAATACAAATAATTAAAATGCTGAAATGAAGCAGGGCAAATAATATTAATGCAAATTCAGTACAGCTTTTATTGCTGTTTAATATGTGTTTCAAAGCTTTTACATTGTATCAAACTTTGCACATATTACACCACTCATTTTCATCAAAAAGGAACTGTAGTCAAATTTTAAGAGCACCATCTACATTCAACCATTACTATTTCCAATCTATTTTTCTAAGTAAATATTTTATGTCACAAAATAATTAAAATTCCTCTTATTTTAGCTTTAAACTTAAATTAAATTAAGCACTATATAAAAGGCACTACGTTCTAATAAGATGCACAAAGGACATATCCCCTAATCAGACACGCTTGTCCCTAAGCTTATAATCCTTGTAAATTAATGCTTAGCGCAATAAATAAATCATTGATATTTATAATTATCTGCATTTGTAGAACACATAGTAAAAAGTCTTCTTAGGAACATAATCAGACAAAAAACTGTCATTGACCCAAAGAAGAAACCAAATGTTTGGTCAAAATGATAGGTTTTAACAAGCAAGAGGGAGATATTTCCAAACAGTATTCTGACTGAGAATGATTGGCAGCTGTACAGCTGACTGTCAAATGATTGACAGTAGGGTGTAGAGTTAAAGACTGTTACAGAGATAGGGAGACACAAGGGCATGATTTTAGAGTCTGAAGCCGATGCGAGTTAATGAACACAGGGCTGGTGAACGAATAGAACTTGGCACCAGTTAGGAAAAGGGCAGCAGAATTTTGGATGAGTTTGGGTTATGAAGGTTGAAGGAAGTCAGCCAAGATCACAGTTGAATAATTAAGTCTGGGTGTGACAAATGCATACATGCACAGCAGATGGAACGTGGCAGGGTTGTGAAAAAAAAGTCACACCAGACTCAAAACATTAACACTGTTTCTCTCTCCACAGATGCTTCCAGAGCTGCCGAGTTTCTCCAGAATTCTCTGTATGTTTCAGATTTCCAGCATCTGTAGTATTTTGCCTATATTATGGCAGGGACATTGATGGATGATATTAAAGAAGTGGAAGTATGTAGTTTTGGTGATGATGAGGCAATTGGCTTCAAAGTTCAGCTCAAGTCAAATAAGACACTGAGTTTGCTAACAGTCTCAGACTATGGAGAAGAGTATGGATTGGAGTTGGGCCGAGCACATATCTTTCCAACGATTAACTGAAGTAACTTTTTACTCATTGAAGTCCAGATGTCAGACAAGCTGGATGGGTGTTGAGAGAGATGATGAGATAAGTGTAAACATGATTCATTCTTTCATCGTGGTTTTGAGTTTTTGCAAACTGCAAATTAATTTAAACTTTTTTTGTTATGAAAACCATTGTACAATCTCTGTCTATGTCACATGTCTTCGTGTGGCAGTTCTGTGCAAACAGTATGCACTAGTTTTCAAACTTTTGTACATGTGTAGGAACATGCATATTCCCAACTTAAAAGGATGCAATACATGCTGACTTGAGACTGATTTGACATGGTCTGGTATCATTTTTCATTTCTTTTGCTAGCAATCCAACATCAGCTAAATTTACTAAACTGGTGTACATATTTGCTTAACAGTCACAAAATCAACACTCTCATTGGGTTTCAAAGACTTCATAAAATTTCAATACGATTACTCCCAAAATGAAGAAAACTGAAGTGAAACAGAGATTAAATCCATGACAAAGATGCAAAACGTTTAAAAATTCTACATACAGTTTTTGAAACATAAATACCTAGAAAATAGGAGGAGTAGGTTACTTGGCCCTGCAATCATTCATTATGATCTTGGCTGATCATCTAACTCATTGACCTCTTCCCACTTTTCCCAAATTTCCAACTGGAACAACAACATTATTTGTGCTTCTTCAGGAGAAGACAGTGCTGAATTGCATTAGACAAGGGAAGGAAATGTGGGATCTGTAATCCCAAGTCACTGAAACCATTTTAATCCATGGCATCGTCAGGTCAATGAACTGAAAAAAAAAACACAAGCTTTATTTCAATATGAAAATCTGAATCTTAGACAGTCCCACATACCTTGAAATCACATATTTTTCATACATTTCCTCCCTAGCTCGCTTTGCCTCCTCAAGGTGAGTTTGAAGGCGTTCTAAACGGTCTTCTTCATGGGCGCAGCGAACATTCAGTTCCATATTTTGGCGATTCAAATATTCTTTATCCTTTTGCAATAAACTAACAGATTGCTGCAATGCTGCCACCTGTGTGAAATACAAAGAAACATCTTTGATCGGACAGCATTAAATCTACATGTTTTTTCAATGATTTGATTAGCTATCAGTGGACAAGTAAATTGTAAATTGTGCACATTTTCTAAGTATTTGTAAAGTTGTTATTAACTGGAACTCCACACAAATTGTGACTCCGAAAAACACCAAATTCTACACCAAATATTGGTTACAGGTAACTTATTAACATTTGCACAAAAGGTACTGCATTTCTTAATCAAATTCAAAAATAGTCACAAAGTTTTTCAGATCAGCATAGAAGATCAAAACCATAAATCATGTTTCTGAGCTTTTATGCAAAGTGGTGTTGTACATATATGATCAGATTTTAGTTTGCAATGATCATACAGGTTAAGTTTTTTTTCTCAATTCACAGAATAGCACCGTTTCTGTGTAGCCATTTTACATTATACTGCAAATTAAACCTAAATGCGATTTTCAAATTATATCAGATCATCTCTTCCAGTTCGTAACTATTCTCGTGAATGCTCCACTGACAGTGTCAGTATGTGTGAAATTCCAGAAATGCTGACATTTACTTTAGACACAGTATACATGAAATAAATAACTTTGCTAAACTTGTTTAACAAGCTATTATCCTCATGACTTCTTCCCACCCTAAAAGCTTTCAATCTCAGATATTTATCTACAATTTGTTTGCTCCACCTTTGTCAGTAAATTGGTGGCATTTAGTTCAGTTGCAAATACTTTAGTTATATCTTCCCTTCATGTCTTTTCCACCTCCACAGATGGATTGTAGATTTTTGTGAAGCTATTATTAGTATACCATGGTAAGAGACATTTTTCCACCATCAAGTGTGACTTGAAAGGATGGTCATTTGCCATGATCTGGAACAAGCTAGCTCAGCCACAATGTTGCAGGTCAGCATCAAATTGCTTTGTGAGAATTTTCCAACAAAACTTTGTACAGCTAAGGCTCCTTCATCAAGATGGAAACAAAAACAACTCAATATTAACCTTAGAATGCAAAAAACAACAAACTGTTTTATTTTTTATCTACCACTTGCAAATGATAGTTACCTGAGAATCTTCGACTTAGCTTTCATAATATACACTCCAGAAAGAGTGTGAAAATTACATGTATTATGGCAGCTTGCTCACACAGAATATACAGAGATGAGCTTTAACTCCTGATCTTTATCATCGTTATTATTGTGATGCATTCCAAGTGCCGTCATCTTATAGCAACAGAGTGAAAACTGAAATGTTCATGATCAATCTGTCACAAGTAAAGAATTTGTTCATTGCAGCTGGAAAACCTCAACACCTAAAGTACAGGTGAATTTTCCAACTCAAGCCAGGCTTTAAACAAAAGGCCAATGAGGAGAAACAACTTCATGATAATTCTGAATTTTAAATTTTCTTCTTATTAGTATATCAATATTTTCTGAATGGTATCAGTGTGTATTTTTAGCTTGGTGGGAATGATGAAAATTTTGGCTGAAAACATTGTGATATAAGAACCTCAATGATTTGAAAGCAAGATACAAGTTACAATTCTGGATGGTTTTCTGATACTTGCTGATTAATAAATGTTAATTTTAGAAGTAAAAATTGCTTGACTGGTTTCCAGCCAGTTACTAATTCATCATAGATATTTCTTATGGCTTTTAGTAAATTTAGGTGGAATCAATTGGATATTTAATTTATAGCTTTGGACCTGTTGGCCTATTAATAAATGTTGAGCAGGACACTGGGATAAACTCTGAATAGCTCCGAGGAACCTTTAACATTCCCCTGATAGAAGAAATAGAGCATCAGTTTACATCTCACCCAAAAGATGGCATTGCAGACAGTGCAGCATTCCCTCTGTACTCCACCAAAATGTCAGCTTTGGTTTTGTGCTCAGGTCTCTGGAACAGGCCTTGATCATAAGACCTTCTGACTCAGAGGATAGAATGCTATTACTGAGGTCAATGCTGACACACAAGTGTGGTACTGTTAGATTTCCTGACAATTCATGAACTGAAAAATAAAATGAATCAGCAAACAATAAGAGTCAGAAGAAATATTAATTCTAAGGTTACTAATGATATACCAATGGCCATACCTCTTTGGTCAAGTCATTTCTCTCCCTGGTTTGTGTTTTATGCGAGACTTCAAGTAATTCTAGTTTTTTCCTGAGTTCTGATGCTTCCCGATCCAGAGAATCTCTCTCACTGAAACAAATCACATGGAATATGACCAGACACACGATAACTAATATGTATCAAGTTAAAATTAACTCTTACACATTTCTCACCCCTAAATATCACCAGATAGCAAACAAAACAGTGTTGGCTAAATATCATGAAGCTTATCACAGCCTTTTTTGTAACTAGGTATCTATAGTATGTTAGAAGCATTGCAAATACTGTGGCTGCAACCATCTAATCCGATTAATCTTATTTCCTGTGTATCAAGTTGAACCTTGTTTATTGTCAATATGCAAAACAGCAAAATTCTGTATCAACATTTTCAACTTCAAAATCAAATTGTCCAAACACTTACATTGCTATGAACGAGCTTTGATTTCAGAAAGGCATTAATATCCAATAGGTAGCACTAACTTTTCATTCCTGTTCTATTCTGACCCAAAATAACCAAATTCGATGCTTTAACTCTTTAACTACTCACCTGCAAGATGTTCACAAAGAATAAGGTAACTCACGGAAATAACTATTTTGGTTCAATGACTCAAAATATTAGAAGTCCTCCGTATTTAAACTCTTCAGCAAATCCTCTAATGCACCACAGTCAATAAACACAGGGCTTATATTTCAGTCCTCCAAAGAAGGGTGGCCAGGGCATAAGTGATCGTATAACTCCAGAGCTAGGTCCCAGCCTTAAACTAGCATGAAACGAAGCGGTATGATATCCTTCAGCAGGCCACATGACGTGACTTGCTTTAATGCCCCATGGAGTAAAACTCCAATCTGGTGTCAAACCAAGTTACCAAACAAGACACGAGGAGATCCAATGTCTGTCCCCGCTTTAAATATATTCAAAAATAACCATGAGTGCAGATCTCTCTCAGGGAAATGAAGTGCAATTTATCTTGGGGGCAGCTGGTACAGTGAGAGTTTTGTGGGTGTTACTTTACTCTCTTTCAGGTTTTCAGTCCATACTTAAATTTGTTTGCAAACTAAATTCACTATTGCCAGATAACAACTACTAATAAGAACCATAATGAGTCGCACTTACTGCTTCACCCGGTCATAATTCTCTCTTTTATAGTCAGCCTGTTGAATAAGTTGCTTAGTGTCTGCTAGCTCCAATGCAAGGCGCTGACAACGGACTTCAAGATCAGAGCGAGTTCGTCTTTCAGATTCATAGCTCTAAAAATTTCACATGGTGAAATGTTTAAGTATTGAATAAATGTGCCAGGAACATTGAGCATGCTATCACAAATCCAAAGAATTTCCTTGGAGTTTTGACCATTTTTCCACAGAAAGGTTTCAAGGCTGGTACATTGGATTTCTAAAATCGAAGTGCATTCAGCAACTTAATAAAAGGGCTGAGATGGTTAAAATGCAAAGTTTTCAAACACATCAACACTCATTAATGTATCATCTTCCTCATTAGTAAATAGCTCCTAGCCAGTAGCCCAGTTTCAGGCACTTGTGATCACGGAGGTAAAAGCAGAGGCTGAAAATACACAAACTTTTGGAACCAGTAGACTTCAGGCTCAGAATTCAGTACGTAAGAGTCAATTCTTTTTATTTAAATAGAGATGAGCTACTGATAGGGAAACAGTGTTTTTATTATTTTGTAATATCATATGTTAACAACTTATATTGATCAAGTGCATTTGATCATAACTAACCGTATTTTCTTCTGCTACAAAAGAAAGCTCTTTTACACTATAAGCTCCAAAGCCTTAACTTGCCATGCTTTTCTCGTGTTATTCGCCCCATCCCTGCGTTACGTTATTACATAGTGAGGCAATGTTTAGTGCCAATTGTACCCCTGAATATAAATCACTCAAATTGTTTAGAACAGTGATAGACGTCACTTGTTGAGAGAGTTTCTAAAGACCCAAAACACGTTTCTTTAGAAATTACAGCTGTATTTATCTGCTCCAAAAGTTTAAAAAAAAAACTTAGCAGTTCTAGTGTGTACTCGGGCTTGTTTAACAGGTTATATTCTGGGTGAAATATTTCTCAGCTTATTTTTTGTATAATGTAACTAGAAAAACCAAACAAAAGTGATTGACAAAATTTCAGAGGGCTGTCCAGTTTTGCAATACTTTGCAGATAAAAATTGCACAGATAAAAACTTAAGTGCCTGAAATGCAACTTTACTTAACCTTTGAAAACTGAAAGCCTCCACATAAAACTCTATACGTTTTGAAATTAGTGCTACAAGAGATTAGAGCAAATTAATGTGTAGCACATTACATTGAGATGTAGATATGTGCCATCATTGTTTTGTTATCCACTATTAAAAATGATGCCACCATTCATGTTGCACTGTTCAACATCACCTTTTATGTGGTGCTGCATGGCTGATATAATATTTGAATATTCAAATATCCTACACTGCAGACAACCCTATCTTTGCTTTGATTTCAGATGAACAGCTAATTAAGTTAAAACGTTCCCTCAAATAAAGCTAGTAACATCATCCATTTTGGTAGGAATAACAGCCAAGTGGACTATTATTGCCAAGTGGCATTGCCTCAAAATAAGGGGTAGCAGGTTTAGGACTGAGTTGAGGAGGAACTTCTTCACCCAAAGGGTTGTGAATCTGTGGAATTCCCTGCCCAGTTAAGTAGTTGGGGCTACCTCCTTGAATATTTTTAAGGCAAAGATAGATAAAGTTTTGAAACGTAAAGGAATTAAGCGCTATGGTGAAGGGGTGGATAAGTGGAGCTGAGTCCATGAAAAGATCTGCCATGATCTCATTGAATGGTGGAGTAAGGTCGATGGGCCAGATGGCCTACTCCTGCTCCTGCTCCTAATGTTCTTATGTTGACTGAATTATTGTCATGACGAATGTTTTTTGTGGCAGGGGGTTGTAAGGACAGAGATAGTTGGGCATAGGTTGGCAGAGAGGTTGAGAGCTTGAAGCAATGGCTTAAATGGCACAGGCTGGCATGAAGGCTATGGGGAAACACAGAGGTTGGTACAGTGGTAGAGGTGGATAGGGAGGGTATGAGGGTGCTTTGGGCATGTGATGGCATTGCCAGGTATGAGGTTTCATGGACGTAAGGTTGAGACACACAGGGAAATGATGAGGCATTGACTAACATAGATGGTGCATGAAGTGAGAGAGACAGGGAGGGGTTTATGAGGTGGCTAGGGTTGTTCTTGGTTTCTTTAGTCTTTTACTAATCTACCACATTTTGCTGGCGCACAGAGGGAGGCCTTGTGCTCTGCTGCACCTGTAGCTTCTGCTCTTGTTCCTGAACCACCCACCCAGTTTCCAAAGAAACTTAACATACTGGAATAAAATCACAGTGCTGTTACTCATTCACAAGTTGCATTACCAATTGAGTAACAGTGCCAAGTGTTTTCAGCTTTAAAGAGATATTAACATTTTTGACTGTAAATATCCTGGCAGCAGGGAAAGGGTATCAAAAGTATTTCTCACTACCAATTCAAGGAGACAACATGGTTGCAAAGTGCAGAGTAAAACAAGGGGTATTTTAAAAAAATGAAATTGCTATTAACAGCAACTAAGGCAAGCAGTGTGTTACTCATCTGAAGAATCATTTTCATTCATGGATGTAGCTGATGTTGTTCTGTATGAAGCTAATAAACATCAGATACACACATCCCCTGCAGTATCAGTTGAATCACTGCACGATTATGATGACCACTTCTTTACAGGCCATCCATATCCACTAGCAACTAATCTCCTTCAATCATTTAGAAAAGATTACCAGGAAAGAAATTCTATTCCAGGAACAATTGAATAAATAGGAGAGATTACAGTCGGAGGATTGCCAGTCAGAGAGTAAAACTAAACCGCATACATTTGGTAGAGGAAGAAAAGGTGCTATAGAACAAAATGTACCCTGGAAATACACAGAAAAATGAGAGAAGCTTTTCTTTCAAAATATAAAGCTCCAGCCTAAATTGTGTAACACCGACCGATTTAAAACATAGCGATTTTTAAAAGGTTGCATAAATATACAGATCTGAATGTAGAAATAATGTTGTTATTAAGTAGCTGTGTGGTAAACAGTGCAAATCTTTAAATAAAACTGTTGCCTGTGCAACCATGCTATCAAATAAATTTGTACAGATATAACTATACAGATAGTAGGTAACTACAAACATGAGGATGCTAAGAATGGCAATCAAAACTTAAAATAATATATTCATTTTAATATGAAAAAATTGAAAATTACCAACCTCAATCATACTATTCAGTTGATTTTTATGGCTACTGTTCTCCTCCCAAAGACTGGTTTTCTTTTGTCGGAGTTGCTCAATCTCTTCTTTCAAAGGTTGCATGACTTCATAAAACCGTAACTAACAATAAAGAAGGAAGACAAGAGGATTGACTAAATTAGATTTACAAAACCATGTTTTCTTTTCCCTTCTAACAGTCTTCAAGAAACAAAATACATACGAATTTGGCTTGTTTGAACCAGAATATAGACAAAAGTCGTTTCTAACACTTAATTTATGAAAATAAATACCAGTTAACAAATGATGGCAGCATAAAATTAATCAGTCAAGTGTCAAAGGATGGTGTCTCACATTACACAAACTTAAGGATTGTGTTGCACGGTCAATATCAAAACCTCAGGGGCTCAGTCTGATATTGAATTACAAGATAAACTTTGATTTTCCTTCCTTCACCATAGCAGAATATTAAGAAAATAACAACTATATTATAGTAGGATATCATAAACCGCCATGTTTTAATGTCGTTTCAATAACTGCAATTTGGTTTAAGTTGTTTCAGAGATAGTAAGAATTTTAAGTTGTACTGATTTATCATTTTTCTCATGACATTTTTTAGTACATTTCTGTTAGATCTGTATTAAACAAATTAGTTGGAAGCATAACTAACCACTCCACATGCTTATGGAAGTAGCTCTAATATCAGCACAAGACATATTTAACGACAATTATTTGTATTTATATGATTCAGTTAATGGATTAAAAAAGTATCTAAAGTGCACAGTCAGAAAGTTATTTGGAGGATCAACCAAAAAGAGCATCTGAAATAGACAAAGGGCCAGAGTTGGAGAAACAGAATTGTAAGGGGATGGAGAGGGTCACAGAGATAGGTAGGGGTGAGGTCAGTGAGACAATTAAATGGGATAACAATGTCAAATAAGGCATTTTGGACAGGGTGCCAAGAATTCAAAGTGAGTAGTGCCGGACGCTGAATTGGATCTATTAGATGAACTGAAGTCTGGAGTTCGCAGACGTGTGACTTAAGATGTAAAAGAAATAGGTCATGTTAGGGAGGTGCAAGTTTATTTATTTTTTATGATGGAAAAAATAGGGAATCAGAAGTTCCTTTTGAAGTAATGAACATGTGAACACTCAGTTCCAAACAGCGGCTGAGGAGTGAATAAAATTCATAGTGAGGGCACAGCATTATTCAGGCAATGTCACTTCCCATTGCAGTCTCTGCTTGGCTCTCAGTCTCTTCTTCTTGTCTTTGACTTGCACTGGCCATGTTCCCCTCTCTCCATGACAAAGACATATTCTGTTGCACGCTTTGATTGCAATTCCTCCTTTCTTTCTATTCTTCTCCTTTCCCTTTACATACGTTTCCTTGTCAGCATTCATCCACCAGAAATTCTAGATCATCCGATTCCTTTGCATGCAACCAGTCCCACATAAAGATTGTTCCCTCACAGGCTCTTTTCTATCAAATCAAAGATTCTTGTTCTTATCCACAAGTACCTTCATGGTTTTGGCCCAAACTATGCCTTAAACATTCTCCAGTGTTACAATCTTCCCGATTTTATGACGCTGACCTAGCCTAACTACTGCCTAGACCGTGCACCTACTAGCTCTTCCAGTAGCAGAAGCTGAAGTCATTTGTTGTCAAACATGTTCCCTAAATACCTCACCTCTAAATTTCCACTTCTGTGTCTAAAACTAACTTCTGCAACTAATCCTTACATCTTCTCTTCATTTATTTTTAGTGGCCTAATGTGAATTAACATATAAAGCCCCAACATTACAGAATCTCTGTTCTACCTGTTTGTTGAATGGGTCGGGGGGCACGGGTTTAAGGTGAGAGGGGGAAGATTTAAAAGGGACCTAAGGGGCAACATTTTCACACAGAGAGTGGTGCGTATATGGAATGAGCTGCCAGAGGAGGCAGTTGGCATGGACAAGTTGGACCGAGGGGTCTGTTTCCGTGCTGTATATCATTTTGACTCTGAGGCAAATGGTCATTTTTCACAGACTGCATGGCAATGGAAGAATTGACAAATAAGCAACTAATTCTAGATTGGAGATGACATACTTCTGAAAACTAATATTTGACACAGTTAAAAATTAGACTCTGTAAGATGCACAGAATATGCTCTGCAGAATAATTACTTCAAATTGAGAGTATGATTTTCAAATAAGATACCATGGCACCATCTGGTGGGGAAAAAATGATCATAGCAGATCCAAGGCCTCGAATGAAGCAAAGAGACATATAGGCCCTAATCATCCGATTATTATTCGGAATACAATGTTAATATTCTTTCCTGGACAAATGCAGGATCCTGAAAAATTCCCTTGGCACAAGAATCCATGAAGAGAGCAGTAAAAAGAATGAGCGTAGAAGCCACACTTCTGCTTTATGGTATTAGCTTCCAGATTTTGATAAGGCTTTGAAGTTGGTTCATGAATAATTACATGAGTGAATAAGTGAGTAACGACCTGAGTGAATGGCTAAGTTGTTGGGGTGGCAAGTGGGTGAGGGACTAGGACAGATGGTGAATAAGTCTGCTGGGTAGGTGAGGTGATATGATGGCAGGTGGATGATAAGTTTGGATGAATGGTGATTAGGGTGGCAGGTGGATGAAGTGGTAGGGTGAAGTGTGCAAGTGAATCAGGTCAGGACTAGGTCAGGTTGGGAGGCTTTCAAGACATTGGGCTAATCAAATCAGATCAACATTTCCTGAGTACCTATCCAAGTAAAATGTCAGAACTGTACAAAGTTTCCAACTTAGAGCCAGAAACTTTTCAAAAGATCCGAAGAAGCAGGAGAATTGCCCTTTGGTCCTGATACACATTTTGGTTTGTAATTTTGATTTCCAACAATCCGGGCACCATTCGTTCTGGGTCACAAAAAGTGGACTACTATCAAAGTACTTACATAATTGGATATAATCCAAGATACTTTAGAAATCAATTTGTTGGCAGGCTTACTGTACCTTTATGTTGTTATGCTATTTGTACATTAAAAAAAAGGAAGTCTTAAAAAGAATCTCTAATTTTGTGGAATCAAAGAACATTACAGCACAAGAGAACCATTTAGCCAACTATCCTTGCTACAATTCTGAGAGATAAAATTCTTTTTCAATCCTTTTCCTGCTCTGCATCATAATATATTTGTAATACCTTTACAGTTTTGTATATTATGAGACTTAAGTCCGGTCCTTCATGTAATCCTTTCCAATATTGCCTTTATTGTTTCCCCACTTATCAGTACCTTTTCATTCTTAACGGTCTTCACATTTCCAATTTCATTAGAATCAGTATATTTTTTAGATGCATGCTATTTACTTCCCAATCATTAAATGCTCCCCACGTAATTTAAATTCATTCCAGTTTCATGAATTGGAACTGTACAGAACAGCAGTTTAAAGTATTTAAACATTTTCTTCAACAGTACTATGCAGTCAAAGGATTAAATTACAGGGAAATCTAGGCAGTAAGATTTTACTTACAGCTACATATTCTGGAATGGAAAGCTGGTCTTCAGGTCCAATTTTCAACTCGGAGTACTGCTCTTCAGTCAATTCCAGATCACGCAAGCTGCGACGGATGTCACCTGCTCGTTCTTGCAGCTGCTGATTTGTCTCTTCAAGTTGTTTCTGTCTCTCTAAAATAGCTTCCATTTCTTGCTTCCGTAGATCTTGACGTCTCCTGTGCCACAAGATAAAAACACCGAAGAGCAGAAACTTTTTGTTTTAAAACAAAAAGTGTGCATTTTGTTTTACCATGAATGTGTCAGAACTAAAGCACCTAGACTTTTACAGCAGTGCACAAAGCACTGGGATTATTAAGGAGATTACCTTTAGATTCCATCTTTATTAATCAAACTGAAATCACCACAAGATATAGGAGCAGAATTAGGCTATTTGGTTCATCGAGTCTGCACCACCATTCCATCAAAGCTGGTAGGTTTCTCAATCCCATTCTCCTGCCTTCTCCCTTCTCAATTTTTGCCTTAAATACACTCAATGATTTGGCCTCCTCAGCCAACCGTGTCAATGAGTTCCACAGATTCACTCCCTCTGGCTGAAGAAATTCCTCATCTCAGTTTAAAGGGTCATCCCTTCACTCTGAGGTTGTGTCCTCAGTACTGGAAAATAATGGTAATCTTCTTAATGGTGACCATGACAGCTGTCATCAATCATTAATGAACCCTCTGGCTCACTAATGTCCTCTAGGGAAGAAAATCTGTTGGCTTGTCCAGTCTGGATTACACGTGACGCCAAACACACAGCCTAGCAAACCATTCAGTTCAAGCGCAAGTCAGGACAGGCTGCTAGTGATGCCCACATCTCATGAGAAAAAAATTTCAAAAAGTAGACAGATATTAATATTTAATTTGAATATTGCCATCAGATAACTAAATCATGTCATCAGCTTTCTTCCAATAGTGTAAACATCTTCTCCATGTCCACTCTATCCACTCTCTCAATTCTCCAAGATTTAATCTGATTCTCCTTTGTCCTTCTCAACTCTATCGAATACAACCCAAAAACCTGAACCAATCCTCATCTGAAATGCTCTTCATGCCCAGGATCATTCTTGTAAACCCCCTCTGGAACTCCTCCAATGCTTGCACATTCTTCCTTGGATATGAAGCCCAAAACTACTTACAATATTCCAAACGTGGTCTGACCAGAGCCTTACACAGCCTCAGTGGTATATCTCTGTTCTTGTATTCAAGCACTCTTGAAATGAATGCTAACATTGCATGTGCCTTCCTAACTGCCAACTGAACCTGCACATTAACCTTAAGAAAATCCTGGACTAGGACTCCTAACTCCCTTTATGTTTCAGATTTCCATAGCCTTTCCCAGTTTAGAAGATAGTCTACGCCTCTATTCTTCCTACCAAAGCGCATAACATCACACTTTCCCATGTTGTATTCTATCTGCAATCACACCAGCTTCCATGATAGGATTCGAACCCCTGTCCCAATAGCATTCACCTTGGTCTCTGGATTGCTCCTCCAGTAACACTACCACTTCACCACCATCTCATTGTTATTTCCACACTTCAAGTTCAGCTGCTACCACAGCAGTAAGGGTCAAGTAACTAACCATTTACATTTATTCTGATTAAGTCATTTGTCAAAAAAAATCTATACTAATTCCATATTAGAAACATTATTTTCTGCCCTAAAGGGATCCTTTCTGAGAGGACTGCAGATTTAAGGTTTGGTAAACTGAATACTAGTATAGCAGATTTTTAAAATTTCACATCAGATGTGCGTTGAGGACATACCTTGATTCATCCTGCTGAACTTTCAGCTGGTTCTCCAAACGGACCTGGAGCAACTGCTTCTGGTGAAGAGAATCATTTAGCCTTTCCTCCAAATCTTCTATCTGTGCCACAGAAAAACAGCATTAGAAATTAAGAATGATGCGATAGTTTAACTCAGTTAGAATAAAACAATGTTTACTGCAGGTTTTAAATGATTCAACCATATTCACTGCTGTTACATCAAATTTGGGTCAGCGTGTGCACTTTCAATAAAACTGTCACCTTACAGCATTCGGGGAAGCATGAAAATTCACAAACAGCTTGCAAAATAATCAAAGACGAAGTCAAAAAATTAAAATATGGAAAGAAAGGTGCCTCCTAAAATAAGCACTGCAACATCTCCAATCTGAAACTCCAGCTGGCCACCATTCTCAGACTCATTACCTGTGGTGCTGCAACAGTACTGGAAACACAGGATTGATGCTGGGAAGATAAGTAGTGGATTTAAACTTTGCTGTTTTTCTGCTAATTGCATTTTACATCAGTGCAATATATCTGCTGTTAGACCCTCTCCATGCATCTGTGAATCCTCGCATTTGGATGGTTGTATTGTGACAGCATATCTGCAATGCTGTGCTTTGCCCTCCACCCCTTCCTTCTGAAGACTACGATGGTTATTGTTACTCCTGTTACTTCTGACAGCTGCTGATATTAACCATGGAAATTGGAGCTGAAAAACAGTGCACCTATTGCACCTTTAAATATGTACGCCTTTTTCCACAGGGTCTTCATACAGTCATATAGCACAGCAGAGTAAAGAGCAGCGGAGACTGAAAGAGGACATGATTGAGATGTATGAAATTTTGAGGAGCACAGACAAGGTAGGCAGGAAGAAATTTATTCCCTTGGTGGAACGATCAGTGACCAGGGTCATAGATTCAAGGTAAAGGCAGCAGGGTCAGAGGGAATGTGAAGAAACATTTTTCCATCCAGAGGGTGGTGGTGATCTGGAACTCATTGCCTGTAAGGTTGGTAGAGGCAGAAACTCTCATTACATTTAAGAAGTGCTTAGACACAGACATACAATGCCAAGTATTGGAAAATGGGATTAGAATAGTTAGGTGCTTGTCTTTAATGGGTGCAGATGGATCAAAGGTCCTTTTTATGAACTGCAGACCTCTATAACCGAGGAGAGTCTGCGCCAACCTATTTACACTAATCCCATTTTCCAGCACTTGGGTCCATAACCTTGAATGTTGTAGGACTTCAAGTGCTCATCCAGGTACTTTTCAAAAGGCTGAGGAGTTTCTGGCCTCTACTATCTCCCAATGTAGCACATTCTGGTTCTCTCTCACTCTTTCCAGGATTAACAGGAAAGAACTGATCCGTAAACCTTGCAGGCATTTTTTGGGCAAACATTACTTTAAATTTAAAAGATTAAATTTAAATTTTAAAGGCAAATCAAAAGCAGGCAGAGTAATACTGAGTGCACAGGTCTGCCTAAAAGAATCGTAGCTACCAGTTCAGAACAGTGGAAGTAAATGGAAATAACACTTGCAACTAGAACTAGGGGCATAGCCTCAAAATACGGGGGAGCAGATTTAGCACTAAGTTGAGGAAGAATTTCTTCACCCAAAGGTTGTGAATCTGTGGAATTCCCTACCCATTGAAACAGCTGAGACTACCTCATTGAATGTTTTTAAGGCAAAGATAGATAGATTTTTGAACAGTAAACAAATAATGGTGATGGGTGAGTAAGTGGAGCTGAGTCCATGAAAAGATCAGCCATGATCTTATTGAAAGGTGGACCAGACGGCCTGCTCCTGCTCCTATTTCTTACGTAACAACAAAAAGTCCAGACCTAGGAGGGTGCAGGGCATTCACAAAGGATTGTGCATGTAGGGGATCTTAAAATAGGGTCACATTGGTTCATGAAAATGTTAATCAAAAACTAAAAAGCAGCCTTGAAAATTTAAAAGTAGACCTCAAGTAAATTAAGGTGGCATTTTTTTTCTCTTAGCAGAAAATTACTCTGACACAAGGCTACAGGATTGCTATAATATTTAGTATCAAATATCCCTGTCAAACTAGCCATGATCAACTGTGTTCCATGCTTAACAAAGTGGCCACCAACTTCATAATGTTATTTTAGTCCAGTATGAATGCAGCGTATCTTTGAAAAGGTACGCTATAAAACCTGAAAATGTATAAATAATTCTGTTAATACAGAACATCAATGTGGCCATAAAGAGATAACACAGTGTGGTGCTGGAGAAACGTAGCAGGTCAGGCAGCATCAGGGGAGCAGGAAAGCTGATGTTTTGGGTCAGGACCCTTCTTCTGAACATACATCATTTCCAGTCAGTTTAAATGAGTTGCATTACATGCTCAACTGATTATTTGAAATTGTTAGTTTAACGTAATCAGTGAAGCTGCAGTTAATATTATCATATTTTCATACAGGTTCAATGAGCCGAAGCAAGATTTACAGTCTAGAAAAATCAAGTAATTTGGCCTAAATATTCACTCTGTGTTTATGGTCCACATGAACCTCCATCCACGCAGAGCTATCAAACCTTATTAGTATATCCTTCTGTTCTTTTCTCTCTCCTGCACAAATCTAGCTTCCCCTTAAACAGTACTTATCACAACTACATCAAATATTACCAATTAGCACATTCTAACTGCTTATGCAGTAATTTAAAACATGAGCGAAAGGAGCATATCGAAGAACTTACTTTTGTGAGGTATTCGACCTTCAGGTTGTCAATTATCAGGTTTTTCTGTGATAACTCAATTTTTAGGAGCTGCAAGTTGTGAAGAAGCTCCTTCTTCTCGATTAACTGTTTGGTGACTTTAGTGGAAGCTTCTCTCTCTTCTGATGAAGAAACATCATCTGTAGGCACCGTTGTTTCTAAACTGATGTCCTCCGACTCAAAGGAGCTGGAAACATGGGCTTTATCATCTTTATACTTCTTCTGAGACATAGTTTTTCCTCTGGAACATCTGCTTTGACACAAGATGAAGTCTCTTGATCTTAAATAATAACCAAAGAAAGTGCACGATCAGTAAGCTTCTCACACTCAGGAAATAGAGATCACATCCAAAGTGAGGCACAGCCCAAGTAAGTGTACATTACTGGGATTTTGGAGCAGCTTGGGAATTTGGTGCAGAGGACAAGAAGTTTTTTTTTGGTTGGTTAATGTTTGTGATGTCTTTTTAACAAGATACATTGAAGCCCAGGATTGGGGGCCAAGCACAGAACAAAGTGTGACATCAAGGGGGAACCATACATTCATTGGTTGGTAATAGATACTGATTTGACTATTATAAATTACTTTCAAATTAAGGCTTATTAGGGGAAGTATTTTACAGATTACAAACCAAAAGACAGGTAGGAAATTATTTTAAAAATGAACAAATTAAGAACTGAATAAAATGGAGTTGCAGGGCAAGGCGATGTGTTGAACCTGCATGGTGTGGGAGCTGGTGATCCTCACTGTGGCTCATAGTGACCACATCTGTAGCAAGTGCTGGCTGCTTGAGGAACTCCGGCTCAGGGTTGATAAACCGTACTTAGAGCTACAAACACTGTGACACATCATGGATGGGGGAAAAAGTTTAACAATCTCAAATTCAATCAATAGTCAGGGACAGGTGGGTGTGATTACAATCAAGATAAATAGAAGGATCCAGGAGGCATTGTTACAGGAGCCTCAGACCTTGAGCGTGTCTATCAGGATTGATATTCTTGTCCCCTGTACAGATGAAAGTGGGACTGTAGAGAGGATGAGTAAACTGTCCATAACACCATAGTACAAGAAGCCATTCAAGGGGGAACATGTGGGAGGTGGGGAACAGAGAAATACAGTCGTAACCAGTGATAATATAATCAAGGGAATAGACACCATTCTCTGTGGTCAGGATTGAAAGTCCTGACGGCTGTCTGCCTGGGGCTCTGGCTCATGACATCTCATCTGTGCTGCATAGGAACTTGGAGTGGGAGGGGAATGGCTCAGTTGTCCTGGTGCATATAGTACTAACGATCTAGATAGAAAGAGGTTCTGCTGAGAGAATATAAGCAGCTGGGGGTCAAATTAACAAGCAAAACCAAAAAGGTAATAATCTAAGATTACTACTTCAGCCATGAACTAAGTGACCCTGGGTCAACAAGATTAAAGAAGTAAACATGTGGCTCAAAGATTGGTGTGGGAGAAATGGGTTTGAATTCATGAGACATAGGCACCAGTACTGGGGAAGGAGGAAGCTGTTCTGAGGGCAAACTAGAGAGGAATATAAAAACTGACAATATGCGCTTCTTTAAATACATAAAAAGGAAGAGAGAGATCAAAGTGAATATCAGCTCATTAGAAAATTAATTTGGTTAGATAGTTATGGGAAGGAAATGGCAGAGGAGCTAAACATATTTTGCATCAGTCTTTATGGTGGAAAATATCTCAAACATCCCATTAATACTAAAGAATATGGGGGAGGAATTAAGTACCATCATCATCACTAGAGCAGGAGTATGATATAAACTAATGAGGCTAAAGTCAAATAAAGTACCCTGGTCGTAATGGTTTTAGGAACCTAAAAGAGGTAAGTACTGAGATAGTGGATGCATTGGTTGTAATTTTCCAAAAGAAGGCTTGAATTCCGGAGAAGTACCAGGGGATTGAAAAACTCTAATTTGACACCCCTATTCAAAGAGGGAGAGAGGCAAAATGTGGCAACTATAAGCCGAGTAAGTAGCCTGACATCTATTGTTGGAAAAGTATTGGAATCAATTACTAGGGAAGTAATAGCAGAACATTTGGAAAATCATTAATGAAATCAAGCAGAGTCAGCACGGTTTCATGAAAGGGAAATCTTGTCTGACTAATTTGGATTTTTTTCGAGCAAGTCTCGAAAGCAGATAGAGGGGAACCAGTAGATGTGTTGTATTTGGATTTCCAGAAGGCATTCGACAAAGTACCTCAGAAATGGTTAAGTCATAAGATGAGAGCCCACAGTATTGATGATAGTATAGTGGCATGTATATTGAATTGGCTAATGAGCAGGAAACAGTAAGTGGGGATAGGCGGTGTTTTTCCATTGACAACCTGAGACCAGTGGGGGTCCACAGGGATTCGTGCTGGGACTGCAACTGTTTACAACATATATTAATGACTTGGAGGAAGGAAGTGAATGCATTGTAGTCAAATTTGCAGACAACACAAAAATAGGTAGAAAGGCAGATTGCAAGAGGGATACAAACAGTTTACAGAGAGACATTAACAAGTTAAGTGGGCAAAATAATTGGCAAATGGTGTATAATGTGGGAAAATATGAAGTTGTTCATTTTGGAAGGAAGAACAAAAGAATAGTATTATTTAAATGTAGAAAAACTACAGAAAGCTGCAACTGAATTGGAGATACCTGTACATGAAAGCGAGCTCACAAGTGCAGCAGAACGTTGGACCTTGTTTCAGGGGATTGGAGTATAAAAGGAGGGAGGTCTTATTACAAGTGTACAAGGTGGTGGTGAGACCACATCTGGAGTCAGTGAGCTTTTTTTGAGAAAATATATTATTTTATTGGGGGCAGTACTAGAGAAGGTTCACTATGATGAACCCCATAATGGAGAGATTGTCTTATAAGCAAAGATTAAACAGGTAGTCTGTACCTGTCACACACAGACACCAACTCAATGCAAAAATCTGCGTGATAATTGGACTGAAATGGTTCCAAAGATGGGTCACTGGATCCGAAATGTTAACCCTGCTTTCTCTCCACCGATGCTGCCAGACCTGCCGAGTTTATCCAGCAGATTCTGTTTTTGTTTCCGATTTCCAGCATCGGCAGTTCTTTATTTCATTACAGAACTGAATGTAACTCAAGCTCGCCTGCCTCCAGAATAGCACCATCTTGACCTTGTCCAGATGTAAGCAATTCATCTTTCACTGATCTTCCAGCATCTGCAACTGTTGTGTGAATATAATTGATCGCAACGTCCCCAAAAAGAACAATAAACCAGCCCCTGCGCCCAACACTGTGGATGTCTAACCTGTGTGTTATTGTCTGCATTGGCAATAACAAATGCATAGCTTTTAGATAACAAGATGTAGAGCTGGATGAACACAGCAGGCCAAGCAGCATCAGAGGAGCGGGAAAGCTGATGTTTCGGGCCTGGACCCT